ATATTGAACAACACTGTGGTAAATGGATCTTTGAAACGTCCCGAGTTATGAAATTAGAATTCAGATTTTTCGAGCGCGTGACAACTCAGGGCTGTGCAGAAGCCTGCGCCGCTCGCAGAAGGATTGTACGTAACTCATGGGCTGTGACCAAACCACAGGTTCATTGATACCTTCATCATCAATAAAGACAGAAGACGACAACTTCTAGTCCAGGGCAGGACAGTGATGTGTTCTTCCGACCTGCTACCCAACATTTATTTTCTAGGTGCCCTCTGATACTTAACCTGCAAACAACTCCTCGTTTATGTCAAAACTTCTCTTGTGAGTCTATGTAATATATATATATATTAAATATTATTGGTTAAGAAGAAAAATACGCATCATTACCCAGTTGGGTGGTTTGCTGTCCATGTAGTACTGCGTATCAAACCCAAGTGTGAACTGGAGGACCTCTTGCATAGGAGCTTGGTTTGAAGTGGCTTCTTGCTATGCCAGGGACAAAATTGCTCGGGACTCTGTTTAATTTAACCAAGTCAACTTTGGGTTCCACAGAAGCAAGCTGCATTAGAGAAATAATATAACAAAATGAAGATCCTAGGCTTTGGGACATCACACATAGTTGCGAAGTGCTGCTGTAATAAACCTCAAGATGCATTAGAAGCGACTGACAGAGAAGTGGTAAATGGCTGCATGCAGTCCTCAGATAGCATCGCAGATGGCACTGTACAACGAGTGCAGGCTGCGCTTCCCTCGGGACTGCCGAAGCTTTGTGTCTTTTTGAGATTGCTTAATTCTATTAAAATGAGGCCTGTCGTCCCTGGATTATGGTAATGAACAGATCAGAAGTTCCACTGTTAAACAGAAATAGAGCCTGGTTTGAATAATTCATGTCCTCGGGAGAATGAATCCATCAGTCTCACGCTGTATGGGATATATACTCGGGGTCAGCAAAGCGGTGGTTCTTCGAGTGTTTTGTGAACAGTGCTCTGTCTGGAGATGATGTACACAACATCCTGGTGCCTCTTTTAAATTAACGGGCACCTTTAATAGCTGAAATGTTTTATTCATTTATTTTTTCTTTTACATTTTCAGTGCAGGGGGTGATCTTGTTAAAAGAGAGAACTGGGATGACCTTGCGAGGAAGCAGGGAAACAGAAGTGCAGAACAAGCCGAGAGCACAGGAGGGTTTTCCAGTTGGGAATGCACTGGCTTTGTTTTAGAGTGTGGTAGATTTGGGTTGGAGTGATTTGTCTGAAACACTGTCAGTGCCTTAGTGCTGCTGGGGATGTTCAAGGGAGTTTTGAAGCCACGTCAGAGAGTGAGGGATCTTGGGCTCAGCGGTGCCCTTTCTCAGCTGATGGATGTCTTTACAGCGTGGTGATAGTGGTGGCAGTAATGTGGACTGGTTTCTGCGTGTTTTATCTGCTGCTGCTGCTGCAGTGATCTTTTGCCTATGGTTTCTCTCTTAAATGGGATCCATGGTGCAGCGTGAGATAAACAGTGTCTTAGAAACTGAAGTTCCTCACCTTGGCCCAGAGTGGACGTGCTGGGGGAGAGAGGATGCCTCTGTTTTTGTGCAAGCAAGTAGAGGGATGCTTTCGGTGCGGCGTGGCAGCGAACAGCAGGTCGGGCACAGCCGGGACAGCGATAATTACTTGCACATCAAATCTGGTTTTCTCTCTTCTTGAATTTTCTGCACATCTTTGTTTCCTTCTGTTTGCTAAATAGAGCGGAGTAGAAAGCTCCCCTTTTTAGAAAAGAATATTGGACTGGATGAATACACTGATACAAGAAAAAGCAAGAGTTGGTTTGGGGCTTGGGCAAATACTGCAGGTGGTGGCGAGATGTGCACAGAAACGCAACTCTTTAATGATGATTTAATTCCAGGTGCAGTTTGTGGGATCAGTTCTTTGTGCCTGTACCTTGACTTGGGCCAGAGGCTGTCTCCAGCATTCACTGGCTTTATGGCTGTGGAAGTCCTTGATAGATATGCAAAGTCTGAAGGATATCAAACGGGGAAAAATACCAGGATATTTTAAGAAGATATTTGTGAGTTTATTAAAGGAAACGAGCAAGCCCGACTTTAAACATTGTAATTGCAGAGGACTGCTTTCTTAGAGCAAACCTGGGAACTTGCCCGTATTGGGCAGGTTTTTTAAATCACAAATTTGGCCCGTCAACAGTAGTGTACATAGGCACTTGATTTCAGTTCATTTGCATCAGTCTTTTGGTTTTTGTCCGTTTTACACAGCTGTGAGATGGCTGGGATCATTGGGAGTATACGTGCAAGGCGCTCTTACAGAACCAGAAGCATTTCAGGCTGCCATTACCATTCTAAAATGGTTTCAAAGATGTGAAGTTAATAACCTCATACTTGTGAATCCACGTATATGATTTGTTTTGAAAGAAGCAGGAATTTAGTGGGCTTTGCCTTACATCATGAACATGATGAACTTGATGTTCTGGACAAGGTCTCTTCTGTATTTCTTAAATTTATATTCCAGCTCCTAAGTGGAGAAAAGTTAAAGAGAATCCAGTGTGCTGGAAAAATTTAGCCATTCCCTTGTGCAATCTAGATTATTTTTTCTCAAGTTTCTCAGCTTCTAATTCTTTTTAGTCTTTCAGTTGACGTGCAGCCCTGGACCAGAAGTCACCGTCACTGATTCTACCCTTGGCTGAATAAAAAGCTTGTTCTAGATCAAGTAAAATGCCACTTTCAAAGACAGGTTCAGTTTTGTACACATAGTTCATAAACATCTCTCTTCGGAGGTGAAGCGTTGTATAACAGGCATTAGAATCTGATTCTTAACTTTAATTATTTAAAATGAGACTTAATTTCTGTTCAAGATAACACAGTTATTGACAATCACTTTGTGCATTCATAAGGTCACTACATTACGGGGTTTTTCGGGGTCTCTTGCCCCTGTGGTCATAGCTGTACTATTCAAGCTGCCAATCTGCTTGCCCAGATCCATTATTAAATACGTTTTCTCCTCCCTGTGGTTATTGCATTGCCCTTTTCCTGCAACCCCCCCACCTCTTCCATCCCACTTGGAAGAGAGGATTCCTCCTCAGAAATGCTTTCTGCAAGGACGCCTGGGCTCTGCGTTCCTTTTTAGCTTAGCACTAACCCCTGCCATTTCGGATTTGATAAATCCTTTGATCGTTTTAACGTGCCAGTTCACAAAGAGGACTGCGCAAATGGAGCTGTGTATTGACACGGGCACTGCTGCTCTCCAGGATTCAGTGATGTTTCATCTTGGGGTTTTTTTGGGTTTTTTTCAAGCTTGGCTTTTGTAAACTGATTAATTAGTTCACTAATTAGTGACTTGAATATGCTGTGCTTTATGTTGCTGTGCAAGTACTTAAAACAGTGCAAGACAATGGAAAATTTAGCCCCCGGTTGCTGCCCCTTTTGGAGGCCATAGGACCATTTCAATGCAAAATACCAAGAAGAAAGTCGAGGCTGATTCTCTGTGAGTGCGATGTTAACTGAACACATGGGTGTGAGAAAAATGTCCTGATTGCCACATGTATTGATCCTCTTTGAGACGGGCTTTAAGTTTATTCCCCATCTCTCTGCAGCAGGCCCCGAGGGGAGGTCAAAAGCTCAACTCGGCCAGTTTTGGTGCCATCTCCTCGGCTGCACCGCGGGTTCGTGAGCCAGGGCAGGTTGTGTGTGCGGCAGGACTGGCAATAAGTGGAAGGCAAGAGTGCAGGAGAGCTTTTTCTTCCTTTTGTTCCTCTGGGACAGAGCTGGAGGTTTTTACTGTATTGTCTCTCACCATAATGCTCAGTAATTCCCTCGACACTTTCTCAGCTGAACAATGTTTCTCATTAATAACTTCTCTGTTTATGAATATATTACTGCCACTGCGACTGTACTCGAAACCCAACTGCCATGTTAGCTTCAACGTTTTTATATTCTTGGTTTTTGTTTGTTTGTTTGTTTGTTTTTAACCAGCCACTGTGGAGTGTTACAATCCCAGAATGAATGAATGGAGCTATGTCGCAAAAATGAATGAACCCCACTATGGTCATGCTGGAACCGTGTATGGGGGATTAATGTATATTTCAGGTAAATAATTCATATGGTCATATCACCTCTCTGAAACAATGACCTATCTGACTTTTCCTAGGTCAGTGGGAGACAATAACATTTAGTCTCTGGTTTCAGTAGGTTTGCCATCATGTAAGTAGTGATGCAAATTCACAGGAAGCCAGTCATATAGGTAGCATATTTACAGCAGGATCTGAGAAAATTATTTTAAATAGTATTAGGCATTTAGATAGTAAATGACAGCTCTCAACTTCTAAGTAGTTACTCACTTTAAGGGTCAGAATAAATGTTTTTGTTGCGACAGCACGTATATCTATTTAGATAGCAATAACCCTTAAATAAATCCTTTTAACGCTTCAAAGAGGAACATCTGCCTTCATTGAGGTAATGGAAGGGGATACGTTTTCATGTTAATCACAGTATACGAGTGATCTCTGCGCTTTCACTGGTCTGTCATTTGTAATACGCTCAGCCCTCTGTGTCACCGAGGTTATAGTTTGGGTTGGTTTATTTCAAAACCGGTGCAGTAGATTTTCTGAAAATCTGGTATCTAGTCAGCTTTTAAAAAGAGATCCAATCTGTCCGTCAGTGATCTCTATGGAGATTACAAACCTGCAGTGTTCTCCTACTGTGATAGTTAGAGATGTCCTCTAAGAACTGAGCTGAAGTTTTGAGGGCAGGAAGCGGGACAAGGTAGCTCAGCTGTGCACCACTGGGGGGGAGATGCGCTGGAGCAGGTTGATCCTTGGAGTATTTTGAATCGGGGGGCCTGGTGCCAGTAGACCAGGAGGGATTTGGTTTAGATTTACCATAAGATACAGCTTCTTATTTTTCTATGAACAAGTCCATTACGCTAGCTTCCAATTACTGTGCTGCTATTGTATTTTTTTTTGCTCATTTTGCCTGTTTTACTGCAGGTGGCACATGTACATGCTCCCCTCTCTGGTTTTTTTCATGTAGATGCTGTGTATTTCCCACAGATTTCTTCTCCTCCTCCTGTCATCTCGGATATCCCTATGAGTCTAGACACTTTAGGGTTGAAAATGTGAAGATTGACTCCTTTGCCTCATTCCTCTGACAGGCTCCCAAGCCCTGCCACTCCTGTGGCTGTCATTAAGTGTCCGGGCTGGACAGTCCTCCTATTTTTTCTGTATTTAATTCTTTCTGTCCGACTGAAGGATTCGGTGCTTTCTTGTGTAACTGCTGTAGACACATGCCATCTCTGTCTGCTGATAATCCAAGCGTGATAATGTAATGTTGAATGGTTAGCCTGGCAGGAGGTTGTTCAGTAGCAGCGCATTCTCTGCATAGTTTTTAGCACCTCAGATATAGCTGCACTGTGGTCTTAAACCATAGCAAATGGTTCAGCGCCTGAAATTGGTGCGACTGCTTTCTGACCTGCCTTGTGACCACACAGAAACGTGAGACGTTTCATCCACTGATGGGAAATCGTCCTGTGATTTCCCCCGGTGCCTCTCTGACTGATTTTGCAGGGAACCACGGAGAAGGTAAATACAGAGAGAACCACAGGCGTCTGTTAGCAGGAGAATATTTGAAACCTGCGTTCTCTCTCTTTTCAGTTCAAGTTGATGAAAAAGGTTCTCTGAAGGAAATTCTGCTATGTGGTAGGACCTCTTAAAATACAGTAGTGTAGTTTCAAAATTGGAAAGAATTTGAAAATTTGAAATGGCTTCCTGTGTTCTTGATGGTGAGAAACAAAACTACCAAACTGAACAAATCTTAAGCTAAGAAATAATTTTGCCAAGAGGAAGCGTAGGTAACAATATTTTGTTCTTTTAATCTGCCAGCAGCATCTTATGTGATGAAGTATTGTATGAGACATGGCTTCTTTCCAGAATCAGATTTAAAGGAACAAGGTACATTAAAAATGTCATTTGAAATGGAGCACATATGCAATAGTAATCTAAGCTATGTGAAAAAGTTTAAAGGAAGACAGAATTAGCTCACAAAAATCTATGTTTTTGCTATTTGTTGCTTATTAGGGTGACCGCTTTTCTAACCTGTGTTTTGTTTCTCTAGGGGGAATTACCCATGATACTTTCCAAAAGGAACTTATGTGTTTTGACCCTGACACAGACAAATGGACTCAGAAAGCTCCGATGACGACAGTCAGAGGTCTGCATTGCATGTGTACTGTAGGAGACAAGCTCTATGTTATTGGCGGAAATCACTTTAGAGGAACGAGTGATTATGACGATGTTCTAAGCTGTGAATATTACTCACCAACTCTAGACCAGTGGACTCCAATTGCTGCTATGTTACGTGGGCAAAGTGATGTTGGGGTTGCTGTCTTTGAAAATAAAATCTATGTTGTTGGAGGATATTCTTGGAATAACCGGTGTATGGTGGAAATAGTTCAGAAATATGACCCAGAAAAAGATGAATGGCATAAAGTATTTGACCTTCCAGAATCACTGGGTGGCATTCGAGCCTGCACTCTTACTGTGTTCCCACCGGAGGACAATACAGGGTCACCATCTAGAGAATCTCCTCTTTCAGCACCTTAGGAACATCCCTCGACTTATGATGTTGTAGTAACACCTTTGCACTGCATCATGGAGTCCATTATTTTTCTTCAGTAGTTTCTGTTAGGCTTAGCCTATGGCATTTCATACAATTACTGGGAGAAAAAAACCAAGACTTTGACATTATTTGTGCTGTTTGTTTGGCCTAGAATGTTTGTCAAGTGGTTAACAAAAACAGATGTACTCACCCGAGCCAAATGTTTAACAGATGAGAAGATACTGTCTATAAAATGTATGAACTAGGTACGTTAGTAATGTTGTGTATTGGGTGTGAGGTACCTTATAGCTTACATTTGGAAGCCCAATGAGTCAGATTTGAAGATTTTTGTATTGAATGCGTTCTTTCACTAAATTTCATCGTTGAAAGAATTTTTCCTTTCATTTGTGGCTGCAGATTACAGGGGAGGTAGACCACATCAATGTGAACTATGACAGAAAGTTGCCAAGGGGCCTGAGCTACCTCCCTCTTTTCACAGAGTATTTTTGACATATCTGTTTACCCACCTGACAATGTGGGTGCTTTCAGAGCATATGAAGTTTCTTAAGCAGAGGGGAGAAATAAAATAATTTTAAAATACTAGCACTATACGGGAAGCGGACCTTGTAGAGGCCGGGAGTTTTTTTTATAGCATATATCGAGTGTTTTTCCTGAGTCAGTTAAGTGATGCCTCAAACAAAAGATTTAAAATGTTTGGGTTTTTTAATTTGGGTTTTTCAGGAATTGGCTTCCGCTTGCCTGGGAGCACACACCATTAACAAATGGGAATTCAGTGCAGTCGTATGTTCTGTTGTACGCCTGCACTGAATATAGGTAGATAAGGGCTAGAAACATTAATGTAAGCCACTGAATTTGACCAAATCATTCCATCAGATCAAATTTAATCTACCTTTTCTCCTTTGCTGTTGAGATAACTTGCATAACGTGTCCTCTGTATAGTCTCAGTTAATAAGGTTATTTAGCACAAAGTGCAGCTTCAGCGAGAGAGCTGCTTTTGCTCAGTGAACTTGGACTACCACGTTTTACCTTCTTTTGTTCAATAAAACTTTTAACTGCAGTTATTCAGTCTAAGCTACCTCATTAATGTATTTGGTTTTCTTCCTCTGCCTCACTGTCTCCAGGATACGCGCTACGTGTATCTGTGTGGGTAGATTAATTTGCTAGGAAACCAATGCAGAAGTGATCGTGAATGGGTGTTTTTGACCTACTTTTTAGAAACGATTTTGGCCTGATCTCTTCATTTTACTGTTAAGGACTGACAAAAGAACTGTCTTAATTTTTTTATTTCCTCGGAGGACTACTGCTTATGTGTGCAGCCGTGCAAATTTACAGAAATCCTTATCTGCTCCAAAATACAGTGCACTCACTGCGGACAAATTGCAGCTTATTGAAGGCTGATGCCATCCTGCTTGTTCTGAACTTCCCATCCTGTGTTACAGGTGGTTTTGCTAATGAACACAGTCAGAGAGGCATCACCTGGGGAAAACCGTTTAAATCTGTTAGCTTTTATTCTGTTACCCATAACTGTGTAAAGCTTCATAGGCTTTTGTTGGGAGTATGCGATTTGTGTTTAGTCCCTGCTCGGTGTGTCAAGCAGCCCCACCGCTAACTATGGAGTCGGCTCTGGAAGTACTGACACGTGTTCTTCATGCAGTTTACTAGTAACGAGCACTACTAAAATGTATGTGTGGGCTTTAGGTTTCGTAGTTGTTTTAGTTAAAATCTAAAGCAATTCTTCCTCTTGAAAAAAATAACCGTCGTAATTCTGCGTAGTTGTGCAAGGTCGTTACGGGCGGTACCAGTGGATACTCCTGGGAAGCAGCCAGTCAAGACAAGTTGACTCATCACCTTAAGAATACTCTTCTAATGCCAGATAGGAAAAGGTTGCTCTGTCATTTAAGTATGTGTCAGTCACTTGTGTCATATGCTGATAACTTTTTCTTCCAGCTCGGAGACCGGATTTTAAAGCCTGCTTGATTTTTAAGTCCCTTGAAATCCGTATTCTGTTTCTGTTTTATTTATTAAACTGAAAAGTAGTTGAAGTAGTTGCAATTGCTTTTGGGTAATGTAAATATATCCTCCTGTCTGTATGCTGGGGATGAGGAGATGCATACTTCAAAAGTGGGTATCTTCCCTGGTATTCTCTGTTCGGAAGAAGCTTAGGGCAGATTCTAACCCTTATGGGATGGTCAGGGGTCAGGATGTCAGTTTTGTGTCTGAGCCTTGAGATGAGCCCAGGGACTGGCATATGGCCACAGTGTAGAGGTTTATTTTCTTGCAGTGACTCATTATCTGCTCTACTTAAAGTGGAAGAATTCTTTTTGAACGTCATTTTGTCATCGCTGTTGGACACAGCATAGTGGATTAAATGTAGTGCTTCCATCAAATTAATCTGTGAGGGATGTTTTTCTTACATCTCTCTCTGGATTAAATTGTTCGTAATGACATTAGTTAACATCTACTCACTAGGACTGAAAAGCAAACATCAGAGATTTGCCAAACACTGTAATGCGGTGTAAAATGACTTGATGCTCATTACATCTTTCTTAACCGTAGCAAATGAGCCCTTTCCATCTCTGAATCCACATCTGTAGGTCTACAGAGAGCTGTAGCAGATACTCCCTCTCTGTTTTCAGTAAGGCTGTCTTTATGAATTGTGAAGCCCACCATAGAGCCCAGAGCCAGCAGTGTCCAGATGATAAACAGCCACCTCTTTTCTTCGTAAATCTCGAATGCTTTCATTTTCCCAGTTATAGCACCTAAATTAGAAAAGCATCTGGATAAAAAGCAATTAGTAGCTATTTGACCCAAATGCAAATAAGGCGTCCTAGCAGGGAGCGCTGCTGGAGCTGCCCTCTCGCCACGATGGCAGACCCACACTGCAGCCTCAGAATTCAGCTGGACTTGGCTTTTTTTTGGTGCCTAATTAGCAGCAAATGCCAGAAGTGCTCACGTCCATATCCAGCCCGGCAAAAGGCTTGGCTGCTGGCCCTGCCAAGAAACACAACACCCTGAGTGACTCGGGACATCCGGGATGACGTTTCCTTTGTGCTGTGTTTTGAAATAGGACAAGACTGATGGGGAAGGAAACCTGGGAAAACTCAGATTATTTGAAGTTCCTTTGCCCCATTCACATCAAAGAGCCGATCATCTGCAGATGTCCAATTTTCTGTGGTTCGGCTTCCTTTAGGAAGTTGTATAAAGTCTAAGAGTCTGGCCCAGGGAAAGCAGTTCCTGGAAGGACCCAGCCTGGCCGCAGTCTTGGCATTCTTGGGATGATGGAGCTGTCTTGCAGGGGTGAGGGCTGGCGTGGCAGAAGGCAGCTGTCGACAGCCTGGCCCGTGGCTCTGAAGGATCACTGTGAGTCTTGACCTGTGCCCAGGACAAAAAGAGTTGTTTTCTCCTGCCAATGCTGTTTATAAGTTGCCCGTTCTGTTTCTGGGGATGGGGGGCAGTCTTCAAGGAGTACCGGTTTAATAACAGTCAGAAGCTCAGACTGATAGTCGGATTCTTTAGCGAAATAATGGGAGTCTTAGATTAGGGCAGTTTGCATACAGATAAATAACATTGTCCCCAAAGGCTTACAGTTTAAATCTGATGGGCTGGCTGGACATCAAAAAACAATCTGATGCCACAGCAGTAATTGCAATACAAATGTCTGGAGAAGTTTGTAGCCAAAGATTTGGGGATTATCTGCTCTGGAAAGATCAGACCACTTTTTTTGCAGAGTTAACTCTCACTTGCTAGAACTGTTCTTCTTTCTTAATTTACCCTCCAGCTATTATTTACCTCCTCTTTGGCATCTGACTTTGCTTGCCTCTGTTTTTTAATGTCTTCTTTTTGTGGCTGACATCTTTGTTACTTCCTCTGCTCCTAATCGGAATCGATCAAGTTGAAGCTTTTCTAGTAGCACGGTCTTCACGTCAAGGGAGACAAGAGCCCGCTGCTGGTATGTACCATACTGTTGATAAATGTCATCATCATTCAGCTTCTGCATCCTTGGAAAGCAGTGTTAACCTAGTTAAAGGGGCTGTGTGTTGGAGCAAGTGACCCGTTTGGTGCTTACATGGTGTTCTAGGCTGTGGGCAGTGGTAGATTGCCCAGGGATCTAGAGAGTGAGTCACGCTCTCTTATGGAGCACTTTACGCTTTCCATGCTGTGTGAAAGGGCTCTTCTCTTGCACAGCGTATGTAGCTGATTGATTTTTGTTGTTTGTTGTTTTTTTTTCCTTTTGTATTTTAGTTAAAATGTGAATGATAGTTCTTTGTGTACACGTGCGGACAGGAAACGAGTCTTACAATGCAGTTAGGTATGCTTTGCTTAATGATAAAGATTTTGGTCCCATGAGTGCTGCAGCACCCATTCAGCTGTGAAAAAGTAATCCCAGTTTTGAGAGCAAGGTAGGGAATATTAGGGTGACTTTACAGCCTGGCACCAGTTCACGTGTTCTTGTTGCCGGTCTTTTACACATCATTAAGTGAACTCCAGTCTGTAGGCTCTATCTTTTGACATCCAGCTGTATCTTACAAGACAAGTTATTGTCAGGAATTCCAGAATCAGCGGTGCACAAGAATCTCCGCATTATTTAATGAGCAGGTGATTTGTAGAAGATGCAGCCCAGGTAACCTGGGAGTGGTGCTACAGCCGGAGCCCTGCGTGGTTGGCA